CTATTTTTTTTTATTTTTTTTTATTTTTAGTTTTCTTCAATTTTTTCAAAGTTTATTCAAAAACTTTTGAACAATATTATAATTACTAATACGCTTTTTATCAATGTATTTATTTATTTTTAGCACTAATACAAATTGGCGAATTATTCAACCGGATACCATACTTACGACTTACAAATATTGAAGTTTTCTGAAACCGAAATAAAATAAAAAATGAAAATATTTTTGTTTCCTACTTTTTAAGAGTTCGAAGTAGTAGTATATTGTTGTTCATCTTTTATCTGACTTTATTTATTTGATTCTTCCGAAGAAGAAAAAAAAAGTAAAAGAAGAGAAAGTTTGGAAGTGAAGATCCATTTGAGAAAGTGCGAGAGAGGAAGTAGAAGTCCCCTAACATGACGAAAGAATGGCCACCGGTGTATTTCAAAATCTACAAAAACATATTCTGCCCCATTATAAGAAGTGTATTTTTCTAATATTTTAAGCGGACTTTACTCTTCGGGGAAAATTTTAAAATATATTTTGGTGAATATAGAAGCATTTAGGGTGTATTGCTTTTAAATGATACCCTGGGACTTTTACACAAACCTACAAGCAACAGTTCTTTGGGATATTCAGAAAAATCATACAAAAGAAAAAAAGGATATATACTGTCCCTGCCAAATTACTAGACGCACTATAAGATTCTATGTAAAATCTTAATTATCAGGTGATACTATACAGCTTTATTGTTTTTACTCTACTGAAACCGGTTTGCACTGTTTACGTTAGCGTATCAATTGGTTAAATTAAACTATATATAATATAAATTCGACGATAGTATAAATTAGACGATATATTGCATAAATATAGAATATTTATTATATCAAGCATTATATTAGCATATTACAATAATTAGCTCAAATTATTAGACGCACTGTAGTTTTTTAATAATTACATGATTTTCACGAGTTTATATGAAATACTTTTATATTTAAACATGCATGTTATGGGTTTTTATTCAGGAGATTTTTGATATATTCCTATTTTCATTTATTTTTGAAGTATTGCATTACAATGTTAACCAATTGGGTATAATATGAAAAAAGCACAACTACTTCCACTTACTAGGAATAACATTTACCTTTTAGTTTAATTAATAAACTGAGTTTTAAATATGTTTACTAAATTCATAAACTTCGGTAAAACAACAATATAAGTTATGTCCAAAGGAACTAGACTAATACAATTCCAACCTGGCGAGTAGCGACTTATAAACAAGACACTTCGTTTGATGCTTTTACTTGTTGCTAGAAATCAGGTTCGCAGAAAATGCTGTTTACTAGTTAAATTTAGTAGGAATAACACGATCTGTGACGTAGGCTATAGTATACCCAATTGATATAGGAGTGTAAACAAATGCAAACCGGTATCATCAGAATAAAAACAATAAGGCTGTATAGTATCACCTGTTAATTATCATTTTACACAGAATCTTATAGTGCGCCTAATAATATAACCAGGGACTGTATATATATATCGAAGTGAGAAAACCTCCATAAATATATTAATCAAAGATGAAAAACATGATATAGTTTTAAACAAAATGTCGAAAAATCATCTAATTTCAATACAGTAAGAGTGATACGGTAATTTACTTTTTATATAAATATCGTTTTCTTTCATAAAAACGGTATTACACATAAACTTATTAATAGAATGTCACTTCCAAACAATAATTTATCAAATTTGTACACATTTGCTTTTATTTAGATCTAAGAGAAATATTTATTCTTCATTGAAATTTATTTAATTTAGAAAATCAATTATTGTTAAATTGTTGAATATAATTGAAAGAAAAAAAAAATTCGAAACTACTTTTTTTTAGATTTTATATTTTAGTACAAATATTCCAAAAGTCTAACAGATTTTTTTAGTAATAATTAGACTGTTTTTAACACTTAAAAAATATCAAAATATACTTTTGCTTGTAATTAGTCATAAAATATATATACNGGTATATATATATATATAATGGACACCGGTCTCCCATCTGCTTCAAAGGGTTGATTTTGCCTCCGGGTTGAGAAAATGGTAACTAATAGTAATGTTGTTGCAGAAAATGGTAACTAATTAGAAAACATTATTTTTTAGTTTTTTAAGCTAACAGCGCCACATATTGATAGACTTTTTAACTAATTTGTTAAGTTGGTTAAGATAAATTGCCTCGTTTTAAGCAGAACACATCTAACAATACATCTCTTTATGGTTTTCTTTAATTGATTTTCGAAACAGTCTATTGTTTCAGATTTCTGAATAAAATAATGTTTTAGAGTTGCAGAAATAACATCGAATACTTCACTCACTAAAAACTGAAGAGTCAGGACAAGTTGCGCTGATTATAAAAACGATATGACAACTAATCTTTGTGATATAAAATTAAATGCAAACTTGAACAAAAAAAAACATAATTGTTTATTTATTTAAAATAACTTTATCATTCATAGTTGGTAAATTTGTTTTTCTCGCAGAATCATATCAGTTGGGATCATTTTTATAGACGTTAAATTTTAATCATAGATCCGTCTTTTCATTACGTTAACAGAAGTGGCATTTTCGTATCAAGAATATCGCTGAATAAAATTAAAATCGTTTGCGAAAAATCATGCACCTTCAATAACAATTTTACAGTAAATGGAGAAAGAGTTCTCTAAGAACGACCGATCTCCATCAACAACCATATTGCTGTGGAATGGAGAGTGGTCGCTGAAGACGCTCTGTTCTCTGTAATATGTAAGGTGCTTTTGTTCGCTACATTTTGGCCAAGAGAAACCGTTTTTCAAGTTAAAATATTGTTTTCCATTTTAAGCTTCATCTGTGAGAGTTTTTCGATGAAAAAAGTTAGCGTTGCTATTCGGAAATTTATAATTTCAACCGTAACACGGGGAAGTTCAATATATCAAGACAGGTGCTAAGCGGATATGTGTAACGGATTAATATATGGGATATCTGATAACCCTGAATATTAATTTGAATTGCAAAGGACACATATATCGTATCATTTTTTTTAAATAACTTTTTTTGGTCTTAGAGCAAGACACATTTCGATCGATATTTAAATATTCTGTGTTTTCAAGAGTGGTGTAAAATCCTTGTCCAAGCATTTCTCTTATTGAATCTTAAAGTATGATTTACCAAAGGCATTAATTACGCAACCAAAGATATTTACTGTGGGTACATTATGCCAAAACGGGTTTTACGCGTTCTTCTAATGCATCACAAAAACACACTAGTATCTACATTTTGCCTAAGATCTGAGATTTAAAAAAATGGGAATATCTACATTCCACCTAAGATCTGAGATAAAAAGGGAGAATATCTACATTCCCTTAAACTCTGAGACAAAAAAAAGGCGAATATCTACATTCCACCTAAGATCTGAGATAAAAAGGGAGAATATCTACATTCCGCTTAAGCTCTGAGATAAAAAAAAATGTGAATACCTACATTCCGCCAAAGATCTAAGGTAAAAAAAATGCGAATATCTACATTTCGCCTAAGATCTGAAATAAAAAAGGCGCATAACTACATTCCGCCTAAGTTCTGAGATAAAAAAGCCGAATATATGCATTCAGCCTAAGATCTGAGATAAAAAATAATGCGACTATCTACATTCAGTCTAAGATCTGAGATAAAAAAATGGCAATATCTACATCCTGCCTAAGATCTGAGATAAAAAAAAAAGGCAAATATCTACACTCCCCCTAAAATCCGAGATAAAAGAATGCGAATATGTGAATATTTACTTAACTTTTTTTCGTTGATTAAAGTAGTAATTATTAAATATATATATAAATTGACATTTTTAGCATTTTAGAATATTTTTATGGTGTATTTCTTCACATATTCATCACGAAGCAAAATTCACCGATTAATGTACATTCTCTCCAAAAATGACGATTCATCGCCACCTGTTGCCTTTTGAAGACTATTAAGATTTGACAGATCAATAAAAAGAAAAATCAGTTCTTCTCGAGAGTTATTACACAGTGACGATGAACAGTACTGTGGAAGATTCTTTCACGCCCAAATTCGCTTTTTCTCCGAATCATGTTTGACATTCATATACCGTTTTATACGTAATTTCGATATTTGTGAATATGAAAGAAATTCAAAATTTAAGAGGACTGCGAAAGAAACTTTTCATGGTAAGTTCTGTTTCCTCTCAATAGGATATACCTGCAAGTGACGCAGTGTCGCTCTCTCGATCCTGATTGGTTGTTGAAGAGTGGCATTTGCTTACGTTAGGAACTGTTCTTTCCATTTTATTTCGAGTAAGCTAAGCACATCAAATACCAATTCTCTTAAGTGACACGTTCTACTTTCTTTCAATTCTTTCACGATATATCTCTCACTTAACACAAAGACAGGCACGAAGTCATTTAGAACATAAATAAACTAATTATGCTTCGAAGTTTCCAGGTACACAAAAAAAAAGTTATAAGGATCACACAAAAACAAATAATAGATTTAAGTAAGAGATATAAAAGAGAAATAATTATATTTTAACAATTTCGATGTGTGATGCCGCGTTGTATTTTGTTAAACTAACGTTCATTAACATTTTAACTTATGTGGCGGGACTAAGCTCGACACGCCATTTTGTTTATCAACAATCAGCTGACACTGACGTCATATGTAACATGTTTTTGTATCAGTGACCATCTTCTTATCGAGTTACAAGTATCCAATTGATATTTTCAAGTTCACATAAGCCTAGATTTTCTACCGTATTTTGAAAATATTCAGTTTTTTTCTATATTCTGTAGCAGAAAGGGACCTTCTTAACTTTCGAAAATAATTTATTGTAAATTATTAATTACTTAAATTGGGATAAAACAAAAATAAAATACTTAGTTGTGCGAGAAAGATCTCTTTTTCGAATAAAAGAACAAAAGGCTAAGTAGTGTCACCCCCTTACACAACTACATTATTTTTCCTATTAGGGAAGATTTTCTTACCTTGGGAGAAGAAGCTTTCATTCAAGGTCAGCAGTAAGAAGCCCAGAGGTTTGTTTGTCATGTGATGCGGTTACTTAGCAACGATGGGGATCATTGTCATGGCAACCAGGTTCAGAGTCCTCTGGAGAGACTGTCCCGTCCTTAGACGACAATTTTTCCCGCCAACATGATATTTTTCGATGTATTTTGGTCAGTTTTACAGAAATAAAGACGGGATGGAATTCTCTCGAAAAATAGGCTGGTCATCTTGTGGTCACTTCTAAGTAAACTATTAAGATAATAGATCAGCTTTTTCACGGGTAATGATGATATTTCTTTTGGCGGATTTGATAAGTAAATTGACTATAAGAACTAAAAAACGACAGCAAATTAATTTGGATATATTTTGGAGTAAAGAATTACATTTTTTTTATTGCTTTATGAATAGAATCAAGTTAAAAGTCAGTGACCATTGAATCCACAGCTTCTAGTGTTGAATTTATTTTTGGCGTATACATGAATTGAAATTGAATAAAATAATCTGAATTGTTGTTTTCGAAACTGTGAGAACATTTATTAGAGAAACAAAATTCTTTACTCTTGAATTTAGTTATTTTAAATTGAAAAGTTTGATGACATATTTATACGAGTATGACATTAATTTTCACTTCGGAGATAAAGCTTTTTTTTTTTTTAATTTTTCATGAACGACAAAGCGTTTTGAAAAAAAAAATATACACGTCAAAACTAAAGTTAATATTATGCCACGCGTTAAGTACCTAAATCAACACAAAATATTATATTTAAAAAAATAACACAGCAATTCAAACCAAACTTTTACAGTTGATCAAAAATATATACCATTCGCAATGTTTCTAATAATTATTTAAGTGATTTTCTGATTTTTTTCTGATGTCATATCTTTTTCCTAACTTACTTAATATAATGATATTGGAAAGCATATTTTACTCTCTCTTTCACTTATACACACGCAGTCTTAGAATTAAGTTAACAAACGCGTGCACAGGCACATATATGTTTAATGGGATACTAGCAAGTGACGTAGTGTGGGTGTCTCGATCCTGATTGGTTGTTAAAACGTGGCTTCAGCTAACGTTAGTAATTGTTTTTTCCATTCTGCTTTGAGAAGCCAAGCCCTTCAAGTATCAATTCTCTTATGCGACACATTTTATATTCTTTCACGAAGATTCTTTCAGAAAGATTTCAATTCTTTCACAATACACAATTTCTTACAAAGACAAGCACGGAGTCACGTAGAACATAAACAAACTAATTATGCATCGAAGCTGCCAGGTGCAAAAACAAAAATATATCATGATAACAATAAAATACATAAACAAATAGTGAATCTAAGTTAAATTAAAGACGCAGACGATAAAGAATTATATTTCAAAAAATTCTATGCGTGATACGGAATCGTATTTAATTAATTTCATATTAATTAACATTCCGACTTATGTAGAGAAACTTAGATCCACTTTAGCACGCCATTTTGCTTATAAACGATCAGCTGATACTGACGTCATAGGTCACGTGTCTGGGTATTGTAGCCTTCTTCTTGAAGTGCAAATACCCCATTTAACATAAATAATTTATTTTAAAATAATCTAAATATTAAACAAATTGCTGATTGGATACAAATGAAGTTACAGGTGTTAAAGATCACTACTGGTTAAAAAAAAAAAACCTAATTCTCGGAACCCCAGCTACCCTTTCCACGGAACCATATGGTTCCGGTGAACACCTTTTAGGAGCTTCTATAATAGAGTATATTTTAAAGCATTTTTTAGGAAAAAGAGCAGTATAAAAAACGATGACTGCTAAAGATCATTTTCAATCCCTTCTTGAAAAGGGTAATATTCAACCGCGTCTCATCAAGATAACAGCATAGCTGTGAAGTTTGCAGGGAATTAAAGCAAAAATAATAGCTAGATTCAGATTAGTTATAATCTTTAGCCATTTTTTTTCTTCAAGAAATCATATTTTTAACCTCGTCCTGAAGTAAAATTTGAATTACAAATAAAACTAACATAAATAAAATAAGAAGTATTGAATTAGAAGTATTACAGAGCAAAGTCCAGGAAATTGAACCGTAATGCTTATGCTTAGTGTTTAAAAAAGTTAGTACGAAATGCAAAATAATTTAAAAATAGTATAGTTTTCTATCGAGCGAACATTTATTAATTTAACGATATTTTACCAATCTCTGTAACTAGTAATTATTTTTGTATTTATAAACATGTAAGAAATCTGATTACCAATTTGCTAATTTTTCCTTATTTGTTTTCAACGTCTCTTATGAATTAAATTGAATTTAATACACATTCAAATAAACATATAATGAATAAAAAAGAATCTAAAAACTATTCGTAAATATTTTAACGCAAGGGAAGGGGATTTTAACGGTCTCACATTTAATATGCACACGAACAACTCGTTTTTGAAGATTTCAATAAATAATTTTCAATAAACAATTCAAAACAAGTAATAAAAATCCAAATGTTACGTTTCATTAGAGAAAAATTATTCTATTCATAAATTTTATGGTTATTGAAAGAAAAATTTACCCAGTGTTTGTTTAACAAATGAACCTGTTTAACTCAAAAGAATTTTGCGTAATATTTCTTCCATTTAATGTTTCATTGCATGAATATTGTATTTTATAAAAAAAGTACTATTCCGAAAAAAAAGTTTTAAAACTTACCATCTCTGTAAAATCTTATTATAAACTAGCAAACTGTTAGTGTATGGTCAACAAAAAATGAATTCTTCATTTCTACATTGTGACTGCAATATTTTTCTGATTTGGGAGTTATTTGACGCGACTGAGATTGTGAAGATTGTGTTTTGTGTGTTGCACTGATATCTGTGCTGTATTTTCTTGAAATTTCAGATAATACATTTTTGAAGATTGTTTTATTCATCTCCAATCGACACGAACCCGTGGTCTTGGTACATTTTTGGTGTCAGAATCTGGCCTGGAGTGAATATCTATTACAAGAGCAATGGCTGCGGATAAGTTAGTGGAGATGCTTCAGAGATGGAAGAACAGGTGAAAGTCAGCCAAGAGAAGATAGAGGCTAAGTTAGATGTCAATAAGGAGCAACCCAAAGTCCGCCAAAAGAAAATAGAGGCCAAGTTAGACGCCGAAAGGAAGCAGCACAAAGCCAGACAAATGAAAATGGAGGCTAAGTTAGACGCCAGTCAAAAGCAATAAAAAGTCAGGCAGGAAGAAGTTGAAACTTGAGTTAACTCAGTTAAAGTAGAATTATATTAGTGACAAATTGCTAATATTAGTCCTGGTATTAGTGATGAACAGATATTAGTGGGGAATTCATTTTTGCTAGACTTCTTATAAGGAGATAACTTTAAACTGGAATTTTAAAAACAACGAATTCCACTCAAGTTCAGAAGACATCGCCTTGTTCAAGTACAAGAAATCCAGATATTAAACAGGCCTTTCAAAAGTACAATTCCACTAAGAACTGATGAAATAGTTTCGGAAATCCTGTCTGAACATGATAATTCCCGGTATGTCCTAATAGAATATTCAGATATAGACAGCAACTTTAGAGGAGTACTGGTGGCTTCTTCACTCGTAGAAGTTACCAGGAATGAAACACCTGTGAGACTTGCTAATGTTAGCGATAAAGCAAAAATCCTAAGGACTAACGAGTGCTGCAGAAAGATTAACCAAATATAAAAGACCTCTTTTCCAAAACACTGGAAGATGTAGGACGTGCAAAAATAACGCAGCACCGAATCGACACTGGAAATCATACTCCTGTCAAACAACATCCTTGGAGATTACCATTTTCCAAACAAGTGGCTAAACTTCTAAACGAAATGAAAGAGAACGATTTTATTGAGCCACCCATGAGTCCTTGGACTTTTCCAATTGTCCTAGTTAAGAAGAAATATGGCTCAACAAGTGTGGCGACTGTGGTCGAATGAATGACAAAGAAAGATCGCTACCCTCTACGCAGGATTAAACTCTCTAACCGGGAGTAAATGGTCCTCGACTTTGTACCATAAAAGTGGTTGCCTGCGGATTTTGAGATGCATCCTGATAACCTCCAGCACTTGAAGAATATCTACCGAACATCCGAAAGGTGCTGAAGAAATTAAGAATGGCTGATCTTAAGTTGAACCCAAATAAATGTAAGTTGTTCTGTAGTGAAGTTAGTTATCTCGGTCCCATATTTTCTGCAGAAGGGGTAAAAACAGATGCCACCAACTGCAAAGACTGTTGACAGTTTTGAACCTGTGGCCCTGACTCAGAACAGTCACCTGAACCTATCCTGCCATTTTTGGCCATCTAACAACAGATTAGCAACTGTCCACAAGAAGAACTTAATTGACTTTAGAAGAACTTTTAAGGACTTGATATAGCTGAAGCAGGGTGTGCATAGGACCTTCGGTGCTATATAGTGGTTTGTTATTGATTTATTTTCCATGTCCATAACTGGACAACCAACCAATCATCTATACACACATTGAACGCAAACTCTCTCATCACAAAGTAAATTACATGTTCAAATACGTTTCTGGGTTTGGGTTTCAAAGGAAAGAAACTAACAAAAATGGAATTGTTAAAATTTGACTTGAATGAAAAAAATTATAATAGATACTCTTGAGTAAATTAGGCTTACTTAGACACATGAACTCTCTAATGGTATAACGCGTTTTATACTTCCCTCATTAACATTAGCAGATAATATTTTTTTGTACTTTAAAGTCATATAATACGCAGAGTCTGACTAAGGCAGAGTCATACGGGGTAGTTGCTCCCAAAATCAAGGCTTCTTTATGTGCCACTTTTGGAAAGTCTTGCAATGTTGATATGTGCGTTATTTATGCCCATCTTGCCTAGTGCGTTAATTGATTAATAATTAAGTAAGTAAAGTTATGTATTATCAGGGCCCAACTTAGCCTAATTGGAGCCCGGGGCAAAAACTTCTTTGGGGCCCTTTCTGCTTCACTACTGCAGTAATGAAGAATCGAAGTTTATATAGGTATTTAAATTAGAGGGGGCCCCTAAATCGAATAGAAAATTTGTTTTACATTTCCTTCTTTAATGACCTTTTTTTAAACAAAATATCAGCACTGAGTAAAATCCGTCTGTATTGTGTCAGCTTCTTCATTAATCTATCGTATGAACAACAATCTATATTTTGTAAATCCATGGCTTTATAGGGTGGAATTTAGCAAAATTTTCGCAATTACGATGAACAAATTTGGCTTATCAAAAGCCTGTAT